GTTTTTTTACATCTTTTAAAAGTTTTACGGTGTTTTCTATAAATTCCAAAATTTTCTAGGGGCTATTTATAATCCTAGCTTTCAATTTATTATATGTAGGTTTGAAGATTTTTCTGTAAGTTTTTTGACGGTTTTTTTTTACAATTTTTAAAAGTTTTAGAGTATTTTTCATAAATTTAAAATATAATTAGGTGCTAATAGTAATTTTGAGATTTTTCTATCAAAAATTTTATGTTTTTTTTGTAAATTTTAAATATTCAAGTCTTTTTTACAAATTATAAAAACATCAGGGTGTTTTCAGCGAATCCCAAAATTTTTATTGGCCCATAATAAAGTTTCAAATATTAGTGTTATTTATGAATTATGATTGTTTTTGCAATTTTTATTGCATTGTTTTGGGTTGAAAGCGACGAAATCTGGGTAAGGCTTAAAGGGAATTATTGGTTGGGACAAGTTGGGGCTAAGTGAGATAATTATTTTAATGGAACAATTTTATCCATTTGGAATATTTTGAGTGGTGTAAAGTGAGATAATTTAGGATAATGAGGCAATTTAAAGCTTTGATTTGATAATTCATGTGAGATAATTGATGACGTGACACCTTATTAAAATACTATATTTATCTATCAATTAAGCCTAAATTGAGTTACCTAATTGGTTTAGTATATTATTTGGTATGTTATTATAATATAATACATTATTTTACTTTATACAAAAAATATAATATATTATATTATAATTACTAATTAATTATACTATACTTAATGTTATTAATTAATATAATATAATATATTATAATAATTTGATATATTATATAATAATTGATATAGTATACAAACAATATATTTAATATAATATTTCAGTAATATAATATTTAATCAAATATTATAATATTTTGTTTAATTTAATACAATATTATTTAAAATATTATATTATTACTAAAATATACTATTTTATTTTATTTTATGACAATTACTATAATTCAAATAGAATAATTGATGACGTGACTTCTTATTAAAATATAATATTTATGATAAACCTTATTAACCATAATATACTATTAATATGTTTAATATTATTAACTAAAAAAATATTATTAAATAATATATTATATTATATTAATTATATATATATTATCATACTTTAATATATAGTAGATTATTATAATTTTTATTGTAGTAATAAAATATTATTTAATATTATAACTACCATAATATTGACAATATACTATTAATTAATACAATAAAGCATAATAAAAAATGGTAAATAATTATATAATAAATTATATTATAATATAATTAATATATTATTATGTTAAATATAGAAAAAACTATATTATAATATAATATTTTACATCACAAAGATACTACAATAATATGTTTATTCTAACTAATAAAATATTTATGAAATAATATAAAATAGTATTATAATAATATAATACTAATATTATAATATGTAAAATATTATTAACCAATATGTTATAATAATATGTAATAATATTATATTAGATAATATTATATAATATTTTATTATCCTACATTATAATAAAATTTTATTATATAATATAATTAAGATATATTATATATTATAATACAATTAACACATATTAGATAATTAATAAATTACTGCTTCAAAATTATCTCACTTTCCTCATAATTATCCCAAAGTTAAGAATGAGATAATTTTTAGAGGTTGAGACAAAACGTTTGTATAAAAGTGAGATAAGTTTGAGAAATGTGGGGGTAATTATCACAATCTTATTGTCCCAATAAATAACACGTTAAAATAAAATCTCAATCTCATTATCTCAATAAATAACACCATAAAATAAAGTTTTAAAAATTATTTCACCTATCTTAAAACAATCCCAACCACACCCCTCACCTGCTATAGTGCAGGGGGCCTCACATGAGATTTTTTTTAAAAATCTCATGTGGGGCCCCCCCTATACTGTAGCAGGTGAGGGGGTGTGGTTGAGATTGTGTCCAATGGTGTGCCTCTAAGGATTTGGATCCTCTCCACTACAAAAAAGTAGTGGAGAGACCACTACTTTTAATCTCAAGCATTGATTATTTAGTAGGCGGTTATGATACAATCTAAATCTAACACTTACCATACCTCCGTGTATTGCACTCATTCCTAATTTGCACTAAAAGAAAAAATTATAACCATCAACTAGATAATCAATGGCTGTGATTATGTAGTGGCCCCTCCACTATTTTTTTATAGTGGAGAGGATCCGAATCCGTGCCTCTAGTGCCACTCAATCCACTAAGATTGTCAGGTTGTAAAGCTGATTCATCGACAATGATTTCTTCGATTTCAACTGCCTTCTCTTCTCTAACACCTTTATGCTAGTATTGTTTTTTATTGTTATTTTCTTATTACGCAAGAGTGGAAGTGTAGAATTGGCAGCAGAAGTGGATTTCTAGCTCAGGATTCAGGTTGACAGTGTGGCGGTCGACCGGTCCGGTCGACCGCTTTCGTGCACGTCACTTACTGTGCTTCAGGATTGGTGGCGGTCGACCGGACCGGTCGACCGAAGATGGGCAGTCGACCGGTCCGGTCGACCGCGATGGATCGCGGTCGACCGTACCGGTCGACCGCCGCTGCGGTTTTGAGTTGGGTCTGTTTTCAGACCCGTTTCGTTTTGGATTTGTATAAATACCCTTTGGGTGTTTTTTAGGGTTAAGAGCAAGGACGAATTTGAGCAGATTGAGAGAGTTTTCTTTGGGCTTCTATTCTAGGAGCAATTGGAGAGATTGAGAGTTGATTGTTGAGGGTTTATGAGAGATTTGTAACCCTAGTTTGTTCCTCTTGATTTCTAATAGTGAAAACTCCCCCCTCCTTGCCCCGTGGACGTAGGCATCTTGCCGAACCACGTAAAACTGGTGTTTGGTTGTTTGTGCTGTTGATTTTGGTTGGTTGTTTATCTTTCTTGGCGATTGTTTTGGTTTCTCGAGGCACAACAATTGGTATCAGAGCTCCGGGCTACGCTTGGGCTATTTTGGAGGAGTAGATCGCTTTGGAAGTTCATCTAGGGCTTCGTTTGGTGATAAAGGTGGGATCTTTTCAGTAAAAATCTCGTCTTTTTCAATTTGGATCTATTTCTCGTTTGTTTCCGCATTGGTTTGGTGGTGCTTTGAGATATATGGCTGAAAAAGATAAAAGTGGGGAGGGTTCTTCTGGTGTGAAGGCCGTCCAAAGTTTGAATATACATTCTATGAAAATAGATGTGGAAAAGTTCAACGGCACAAATAATTTTGGACTTTGGCGATGCGAAGTCATGGATGCGCTAAATGCGCAAAATTTGGAAGATACATTGGAGTTGGACGGGAAACCGGCCGACATTGATGAAAAGGTTTGGAATAAAATGAATAGAACGGCGTGTGGTGTGATTAGGTCTTGCCTTACCCAAGACCTTAAATATGATGTGATGAATGAAACTTCGGCAAAGAAGATTTGGGAGGTCCTAGAGGGCAAATATTTGACGAAGAGCATCGAAAATCGTTTGCATTTGAAGAGGAGGCTTTATCGCTTCCAATTGAAGAAGGGGACATCCATTAGTGATCACATGAACCACTACACGAAGCTACTTGCAGATTTGGCGAATGTAGATGTCAAGGTTGAAGACGAGGACAAGGCATTGTTGTTATTGAGTTCCTTGCCCGACGAGGAATATGAGACCTTCGTCCTCACTCTTATTAATGGAAAGGCATCACTTTCGTATAGTGAGGTCACCGCAGCCCTTGTGAATTATCAACTTCGAAAGAAGGACAAGGAGACTTCCATCGAGCCGGTTGCTGGTGCATTGGTTGCAAGAGCTAGAAGTCCAAACCGTGGAAGAAGGTCGCAGTCTAGAGGGGGGCATCCTGCAGTTGGTAGGAATCAGTGTGCCTTTTGTAGAGAGGATGGACATTGGAAAGCCGAATGCCCAAAATTGCAAGCTGTGAAGAATAAAGGGAAAGCTATTCAAGCTTCAGAGGTGAATATTGCCAAGGCTAGTGGCGATGTTTCTGATTCAGATTCTTCGGGCTATTCGTGCCCAGCTCTTCCGTCAGTTGATGTTGCCGACTCCACCGAGTGGATGTTGGATTCTGGTGCTACTTACCACATATGCCCTAGAAGGGATTGGTTCTCCAGCTTTCAGGAGTTGGAAAGAGGGGATGTTGTTCTCATGGGTAATGATCACAGATGCCCTATTAATGGTATTGGTACCGTTCGGATTCGGATGAGTGACGGGATGATCCGGGAGTTGGCTGATGTGAGGTTCGTTCCTCAACTAAGGAAGAACATCATTTCACTTGGGGTATTGGAGGCAGCAGGCTATAGGGTGATCTTGGCGGATTCTCGCTTGAAGGTCACATCGGGGTCCATAATTGTGATGAAGGGAGTCAGGCGGAGTAACTTGTATTATCTACTTGGGGGGAGCACGGTGATTGATAGAGCGCTGACGACTTCTTTGGCTAGACTGTGGCATTGTTTGGTGCTGGGATATATTGTTGGTTATACCGTGCACAGATTGTTGAGGAGTGCTATGACCTGCAGATTGAAGTCCTGTGAGCATATTAGGATGAGCGAGAAGACCGAGGTGGAGTTCAGCACTTCTATCCACCGATCGAGGGGTCTTATTGGAGGTGTTCAGTCAGGCATTGGGGGGCCTTCCATGTATGCATCAGTGGGAGGTAATCGTTATTTTGTTTCCTATGTTGGGGATTGTACTAGGCATATTTGGGTTGCAACCAAGTCCCGTTGCTATAAAGCCCTAGTAGTCCGCAACAGTTGGAGGAGGTGTATGGGCAGAAAGGTTACCAGTTGTACTTGTTCTAGTAGGAGTCCTTTCTTGCATTGGTGCTGAGCTCATGGCAGTTGGAGACACTTCAGAGGAGAGAAGACAGTGGGGCGATGTGATGAGATGACGGACTCAGTGAGCCGTTCTTTTTTGGAGGAGGATCGGTATTGGTTGTCGAGCAGTGGATCTGGTATTCAGGCTTCGACAGGTTTGGGTCATCTTTCATTTCTACTGAAGGCGTAAGCGGTAGTGAAAATAGGAATTCTAGTATCCGAACTGGTGTTAACAGCCGCGATTTTAATATAAGAGGAAGATCTAGTGATTTTGATATAAATAAAAAATACCGAAATTTATGGGTTCAATGCGAAAATTGTTATGGATTAAATTATAAAAAATTTTTTAGGTCAAAACTGCATATTTGTGAACAGTGTGGATATCATTTGAAAATGAGTAGTTCAGATAGAATCGAACTTTTGATTGATCCTGGCACTTGGGATCCTATGGCTGAAGATATGGTCTCCAGGGACCCCATTGAATTTCATTCAGAGGAGGAACCTTATAAAGATCGTATCGATTTTTATCAAAGAAGGACGGGTTTAACTGAAGCTGTTCAAACAGGTATAGGTCAACTAAATGGTATTCCCATAGCAGTTGGGGTTATGGATTTTCGGTTCATGGGAGGTAGTATGGGATCCGTAGTAGGCGAAAAAATCACCCGTTTGGTCGAGTATGCTACTAATCGATCTCTACCTGTCATTATTGTGTGTGCTTCTGGAGGAGCACGCATGCAAGAAGGAAGTTTGAGCTTGATGCAAATGGCTAAAATATCTTCTGCTTCATATAATTATCAATCAACTAAAAAGTTATTCTATGTATCAATCCTTACATCTCCTACAACTGGTGGAGTAACTGCCAGTTTTGGTATGTTGGGAGATGTTATTATTGCTGAACCCAATGCCTACATTGCTTTTGCGGGTAAAAGAGTAATTGAACAAACATTAAATAAAACAGTACCCGACGGTTCACAAGCGGCTGAGTATTCATTCCATAAGGGCTTATTCGATCCAATCGTACCACGTAATCTTTTAAAAGGTGTTCTGAGTGAGTTATTTCAGCTCCACGGTTTCTTTCCTTTGAAAAAAAAAAATGCAAAAAAAAAATATCGAAATAAAATGAAAATATAGAATATAATATATAGAATAGAAGTAGAATAGAAGCGATTTCTATGTTTAACAAGAACTCCCATTTTTTACTAGAAATCCCTGTTTGTTGGATTGAATTAGTTTAGTTATAGTCGCGAACTTATAATAAACTCTTTAATTTTAATAAATAATAAATTAATAAAAAACTTTTTTTTTTTTCGAAAGATAGAAAGAATAAAAGAAAAAAAAGGATGGGATAATATAAAATTTCTTAAACTTAAATCGCATTATCATACATATTCGTGTAGAAAGATGAATAGGTACACTTCATTTAGTTCTCATTCCTTGCACTTATTAATTACTTAAATATTATTTATAATAGTTTATACTTATCATAAGATATCTTTATAATAGGTACAAATATTAAATCGAGGTACCCATTCTATGACAGATCTTAACTTACCCTCTATTTTTGTCCCTTTAGTGGGCCTAGTATTTCCGGCGATTGCAATGGCTTCTTTATTTCTTCATGTCCAAAAAAATAAGATTGTCTAGATACGATATCATATCGGATGGGACCAAATTTCATTAATTTATTTCAACACTGAATCATAATACAGATATTTTTTGAGTGTAATATGGTACAATATGTGGCTTTTTACGAATACAAATGAAAGGCATGCGGATACATGATATCTGCATAAATGCATGGATATACGGGTATATCTGGTTAAAAATGATCGGCGAATATTTTTATAATAGAAAGTCAATGTATCTAACCAATTACTCCTAATGGTTCATATCAGACTAGTGCTAGTTGATGAAAGTTACTTCGGCATCAAGAAAAGTCAATTTTTTTTTCTCAATTCCAATCGAATGCAACTGGATCTAGTATAGTATGAACTGGCGATCAGAACATATATGGATAGAGCTTATACGAGGGTCTCGAAAAGCAAGTAATTTTTTCTGGGCCTGTATCCTTTTTTTAGGTTCACTAGGATTCTTATTGGTTGGAACTTCCAGTTATCTTAGTAGGAATCTGATACCCGGATTTCCATCTCAGCAAATCATTTTTTTTCCACAAGGGATCGTGATGTCTTTCTATGGGATCGCGGGTCTATTCATTAGTTCCTATTTGTGGTGCACAATTTCATGGAATGTAGGTAGTGGTTATGACCGATTCGATAGAAAAGAAGGAATAATGTGTATTTTTCGTTGGGGATTCCCTGGAATAAATCGTCGCATCTTCCTTCGCTTCTTTATGAAAGATATACAATCAATCAGAATGGAGGTTAAAGAGGGTCTTTTTCCTCGTCGTATTCTTTATATGGAAATCAGAGGCCAAGGAACCATTCCCTTGACGCGTACTGATGAGAATTTGACTCCGCGAGAAATTGAGAAAAAAGCTGCCGAATTGGCCTATTTCTTGCGCGTACCAATTGAAGTATTTTGAAATGAACCGAACTAAGTATGAATTCATCAAATATCCGAATATTTTTTTCGTAATACAGAATTCATTCTTTTAGGTTAGGCCTCAGATTTTGAACTGATATCGTTATCGTATTCCTGTACTGTGCTTAGACGGTGCAACATTTCGAAATAATTAATGGAATTAATCCGGGAGGGTTTTTTGTCTTGAAATCCAATTCGTTACTTCAAGTAGATTTTTGGAGTATTTATCGAAAGGAACAAATGCAGATGAAATTCTTTCGAATTTGTCCGATTGAGATATCCGGAAATCTTATTTCCTTTATCTATTTACTTTCATATATATATTTTTGATATATATTTCTAGTTTTTTTTTCATCCGAAAAGGGGCGCTTATTCTATTTCTATATTCCTTCTAGATCTAAGGACTAAATTATTTTAACAAATATACAAAAAATTAGAACATTTTTTTTTTTTTGATGCTTCATGAATGAAGCATCCCATACTATTCGATCTAACGAAAGGAAGTCTAGGATTTCTTCAGTTCAGGCAATGATTGGCCCGAAAGAATAAGGGCTATGGGGTGTTCCTATTTTAACCCTTCTATTAGGAATCATAATAGGGGTACTCGTAATTGTGTGGTTAGAAAGAGAAATATCCGCAGCAATACAACAACGTATCGGGCCTGAATATGCCGGCCCATTAGGAATTCTTCAAGCTCTAGCGGATGGGACCAAATTACTTTTTAAAGAGGACCTACTTCCATCCAGAGGAGATATTCGTTTGTTTAGCGCGGGACCGTCTATAGCGGTCATATCAGTTCTACTAAGTTTTTTAGTAATAAACCCCAGTATAGACTGGTACGATTCAATTCAACATTTAATAAACCCTAGTATAGACTTGTACGATTCAATTCAACATTTTGTTCATTCGGGTTTGATTATGTCATAGCTCTATAATTCGAATTAGGTCCTGCGAATATTGGCAAAACTACAAGTAGCGTTAACCAAGGGAAATAACTCGTGATAAAGACAAGATGCGTTTTGACTAAAAAACCCGTGCTCGGAATAATATATTTTATCGAGTACGGGCTTTTGTCGGTAAAAAGGAATCAAATGATTCAAGTGGAGTTTTTTATAACGTATCAATAAGATAGACCCATGCTGCGGGTTGTTTCATGCCATAAATAAACACGGACACTCAAAAAATCTGTTGGACAGGCGGATTCACATCTCTTACAACCTACACAGTCCTCCGTTCTTGGCGCAGAAGCAATTTGCTTAGCTTTACATCCGTTCCAAGGTATCATTTCCAATACATCTGTGGGGCAGGCTCGTACACATTGAGTACATCCTATGCATGTATCATAAATTTTTACTGAATGCGACATTGGGTCTATAAATTCTAGTTTTGAACATAAAAAATTTTCGATCTGGTAAAGTAAAATCAGGAGTAAATGAATTATATTTATATTGTAGACACCAGACGAATCAATGGTTTATCAGGGTTTAGAGGCTGAAGTTTGAGATCTGAAGGGAGAGTTTTATTGGGCTTCTATTGTTGGAGCAATTGGTGAGATCAAGAGTGAGTTGTTGTGGGTTTTTGGTGAGAGATTTGTAACCCTAGTTGTATCCTCTTGTTTCTAATAGTGAAAACTCCCCTCTCCTTGCCCCGTGGACGTAGGCATCTTGCCGAACCACGTAAAACTGGTGTTAGTGATTGTTTGTGCTTGTTGGTGTGTTGGTTTATCTTTTCTTGGCGATTGGTTTGGATTCTCGAGGCACAACAGGAAACTTTGATATATTTGTCTTACATGAAGCCGCTGGATATCTATATTATCTTAATGATTTTATTAGTCTTCAAATTTACAAGTGATTTTTAAAACCATAGTGATTCTTAATATCAATATATTAATAAAAAAATTCACATGGTTTGATCTCATCTCATCTATTGAAAATAAATAATAATGAAATTTAAGAGACTTAGACCCTAAAAAATTATCACCTAATTAGAAAAAAAAAATCCAAATCCACGTCTACTAAAAAAAATTTATTTTTAGCTTGAGAAACTAAAATCTAAAAATATAGCTTGAGAAACTAAAATCTAACAAAAAAAAAAAAACTTCAATCCAAGGATGTTACGTCCATAGGAAACTGTCTAAGTCCACATCAATTAATAGTCCAGAACAAAATAATAACATCACACTGAACTTGAGGAGTTTTTAAAACTGTAAAAGTTCGGAAATTTATTTCTCGTTCCAATAAACTACTAACCAAAACAGTTTCTTAGTCACAGCAACACGAACACGAAACACAAACCGAAAAAAAAAAACACAAAAAAAAAACGCATTCCCTCAACAACACGCATCACTACGAACCACAAAACTCTCACGCATCAGACTTGGACGCCTTGATATCCCCACCCTTGCCTTTCTCCTCCACGATGTCGACGACCCTGGGCTGCTTCCTCTTGACCTCGGCCATCTTGGGCACAGTGATCCTCAGGACCCCGTTCTCCAGGTGAGCCCTGATCCCGTCGACGTCCGCGCTCGCCGGCATCCTGAACTGCCTCCAGAACCTCCCCGAAGTCCTCTCGGCCCTGTGCCACCTGTCGCCCTCGGACTCCTCCTCAGCTTTTCTCTCCCCGCTGACCCTCAGGACCCTGCTGTCCTCCACCTCTATTTTTATGTCCTCCCTCTTCACTCCTGCATGTAATTTATTTCAAAATTGTTACTATTTCCCGTAGAGTTTCTAAATAGCCCATGCCTCGAGGCGCGATTTTTAAAAAATTATGAGGAGGTAAATGTAAAACTTCCAAGACACTTTTAAATGCAAAGTTTAAAAACTTGAGAGTGAAACTGCAACCCAAGAAATCTATTCCTCTGTTGTAATAATAGAAGGATTCAAAATTCAATATTCATACTACAATAAATAATACAGGAAATTACTATAGTTTTGTTACTGTAGCACAAACAGAAGGATGCAAAGTTCCCTGTTCATGCTTAATAAATTACTGTAACTCAGACGAAAACTATAGCGTTTAAAAAAATCACTGAAGCAACATTGTTATAGCTCAGACGGGAACTGTAACGTTTAAAAACATTATTGTAGTATCATCACTATAGCTCAGACGAGATACTATAACATTTAAAAATGTAGCTCATGCGAGATATTATAACATTTAAAAATAATACTTACAAAAATTATATTTAAATACAAAATTATTGTAACGAAAATAAAAAATAAAGACCTTGCTTTGCACAGTATGCACACTAGTTTATTATATTCTGACATTGATTTAGACATACACGATATCAACTTTCCAAAATACAACTATAAATTTGTATCCAGCAAGAACCGAGACCGGATTATTCTAATATCATGTCAAGAAAAATGCCACCACACCAATTTCTAGCATCATCTCAATTAGACGGGAAAAAACTTCTGGGGGCTATTTGGTTCTACGCAATTGCAAAATCCTATTTTCAAATCCCCCTACTTAAAAAAAATTAAGTGGGTTTTTTATATATATATATATATACTATATATATATATATATATATATATATATATATACTATCTATATGAGACAAAATAGTTGCTCTGGTACAGATAAATTTTGTGTTGGTAGTGGAGATGATCTCAGATTCCCAGTCTCACTCTTCAATTTGGGAAGACACATTCACCATGTGAATGTGATCCCCCTTTGAATGAGTGTGGAAATATGCCACTCACTATCAAGCATAAATTTTATGCTTGATACCTAAGCATATCCATTCTCTTCCTCATCTCCTATTATATAATATATATAATATTATAAATATATATATATATATATTATATATATATTATATTACTATATTATATAATATATTCCCACCCAAATTCCTTACTAGGTCAATTTGAGTAGGAGTGGTAAACGATCGAATCGAATAGAATACTAAAGTGTTCGTATTCGTATTTATTTAAAATTATCGAATTCGAATGTGGACTCTAATATTCATATATCTAGCTTTTCGAATTCGAACTCGAATATTCGGTATTTGATAAATATTCATGAATACTCACGCATACTTGTTGAATATCAAAGTATATTTATTCCGTTAAAGAATTTAATTTTCAAGTAGTATTAAAATTCATAAATAAAAATTATTCATTTATAATATATGATGTGTATATATTTAAATCAAAATTTAATTAAAAAACAGATTTAAGATTATTTAAGTCTTAAAGTCGGTATATAAAACTTAAGTAGAAATGATAAGTGTGTTAAAAATACGACATCATATATGTAATAATACAAATAATAATCTGTGATCAAATTTAAACAAATATTTAATAGACAAACAAATCGAATATACATCTGACCAAATTCTAATCGTTAGCAAACTCGAATACTAAAAAATATTTATTTAGTATTAAATAAACTACTGAATCGAATATGACCGAATAGTTATTTAAACAATTAGCGAACTATTTGTTAATTATTTGGTTCATTTCTTATCCCTAATTCTAAGGGGGCAAAAATGAATTAATCCTTATTCAGAAAAAAGGTTCAACATATTTAATAGAGGAGCGCTGCTACAGGGACCCAAAATATAAGACAATTGGAGAGGACCGGTGAGAGGTACCCCTCCTACTACATAATAAACCGATATGACCAGCTTATTATGCAATAAGGAGGGACAAATCTCCTTCCTTGGTCCCATACATTGGATCTTTAAGGTATTTTTCTTAATTGAACAATGACGTGCACAATTGTGACACGTACCTGGCACGTCCAACGAGATCACGTGACCCTCGGCGGTCTCCTTCCAGTCGGCACGTGCGAGGGCGATATTCTCAACAGGCTTCGGGACTGTGAGCGGAGTCTGCTCCAAAATCCTAAAGGGGTCGATGCTGTCGCCGGGCGCCATCAAATCCCACAAATTTCTCCCATATGGGATCAATCCCTCAGCAGGGAAAGCCAGGCTGAGAGCCAAAATGAGAGCAAACGTAACGACCAGCGGACCCTTCATTGAGATTGAGATCGAGAGATCTTAACTTTTGCTGAATAAAATAATGGCGTGGGCTTAATTTTTCGTTTCCGATGGTTTGAGAGGGAGGGCGTTGAGGGCAATTTATAGGGAGGGGGTGAAGGGGGAGAGGATGGCTCTGGAAGGGCCTAGGTGTAATTTTCCGGAAGGAAGTGGAAGGCTCTAGGGGGTTCTGGGTGATATTAATACGTGGGGTTTCTTACACAAAGCTCGAGACCGTTCTACGAGGGACGTGAAGAGCTGAACTGCTGTTCAAAGTGGGCCGGGCTTTCGAAAGACCCGCGTCAATTTCTCTTTGAGTTTTCCATCTTGCGATGTGCGGCTGGCGGTAATCGACAATAATTCCGAAACTGATCATCTTCCTTAATAAAGTTCAGGGGCTTTTTTGTGAAATTTACGTAAAAAATCCATTTTCCTAAAAACAACAATACATTATATGTTGTATTAGTGATGTTATTGTTCAGAAATTACGGCCTTTGATCAGAGAAAAAGAAATAAATAGTAGTTTTATATTCTATAAGTATAAACAAGTTCAATTTCTAGACAATAAATACTTCTCTTAGTGGGTCTTCTTATGTGACATCAAGGGCATGTTTGGTTCATTTCCTAATAATTATAGAAATGGATTTCCTCTCAAAAAACTAAATTTCATAAATTTTTAGGATATCTTGAAAAAGCAAAACTTGTGTTTAATTTGGACTGATATAGTAAAGAATAGGAAAGTATATCCAAGACTCTTGTTTGTTTCACTTACAAAGAATAGGAAACATATTATCATAGACTTGAGCTTTTATGTATTTGTTTCAAAACTATAGAATAGGAAAGAACCACAAAAAGTTTGAATGAATATTCCTAGTGGTAGAAATACCACCCCAAACACAAATAGTTATAAAATTAGATGTTGAGGTAATCTTACCATTACAAAGCTGAAGCCAACAAGAGAAAAAAAGGGGTTATTTTGTGGTTGCAACGGCTAGTAGAGCTGGAAGTCTATATAAAAATTTTTAGCAGCAGACCCACAAACCAATTTATTTCCTTTTTTACAGGATACTACTCGTTGGAGTAGAAAACAGAGAAAAAAAGCAATTGTAATGAAGATGGAGATGAAATCTAAGAGCAAACAATCAATTGACCCATATGAAATAAAATACAAATGTAAGCTTTCAACACCCACGAAGTTATGTGCAAATGGGAAAAAAATAAAGGGAGATATTGTTGGGGTTGTACTAAGTTACCAAATAAAGAATGTAACATCTTTCAACGGGCTCAGAGGATGATTGCATAAACAGAGGACTGATATAGTAAAGAATAGGAAAATATATCCAAGACTCTTGTTTGTTTCATTTACAAAGAATAGAAAACATATTATCATAGACATGAGCTTTTTTGTACTTGTTTCAAAACTATAGAATAGGAAAGAAACAAAAAAAGTTTGAATGAATATACCTAGTGGTAGAAATACCACCCCAAACACAAATAGTTATAAAATTAGATGTTGAGGTAATCTTACCAATACGAAGCTGAAGCCATCAGGGGAAAAAGGGGCTATTTTGTGGTTGCAATGGCTAGTAGAGCTGAAAGTCTATATAAACTTTTCAGCAGCATACCCACAAGCCAATTTATTTCTTTTTTTTGTAGGATACTACTCGTTGGAGTAGAAAACAGAGCAAAAAAGCAACTGTAATGAAGATGGAGATGAAATATGAGAGCAAACAATCTAAAATAAAATACAAATGTAAGCTTTCAACACCCACGAAGTTATGTGCAAATGGGCTGAAGCCAACAAGGGGGGAAAATGGGCTATTTTGTGGTTGCAACAACTAGTAGAGCTGAAAGTCTATATAAATTTTTTTAGTAGCAGACCCACAAGCCAATTTATTTCCTTTTTTGCAGGATACTACTCGTTGGAGTAGAAAACAGAGAAAAAAGCAATTGTAATGAAGATAGAGACAAAATCTGAGAGCAAACAATCAATTGACCCATATGAAATAAAATGCAAATGTAAGCTTTCAACACCTATGAAGTTATGTGCAAATGGGGGAAAAAATAAAGGGAGATATTGTTGGGGTTGTACTAAGTTACCAATTAAAGAATGTAACTTCTTTCAACAGGCTCAGAGGGTGATTGCATAAACAGAGGACTGATATAGTAAAGAATAGGAAATTATATCCAAGACTCTTGTTTGTTTCATTTACAAAGAATAGGAAACATATTATCATAGACTTGAGCTTTTTTGTACTTGTTTCAAAACTATAGAATAGGAAAGAACCACAAAAAGTTTGAATGAATATACCTAGTGGTAGAAATACCACCCCAAACACAAATAGTTATAAAATTAGATGTTGAGGTAATCTTACCATTCCAAAACTGAAGCCAACAGGGGAAAAAAGGGGCTATTTTGTGGTTGCAACGGCTAGTAGAGCTGGAAGTCTATATAAATTTTTTTAGCAGCAGGCCCACAAGCCAATTTATTTCCTTTTTTACAGGATACTACTCGTTGGAGTAGAAAACAGAGAAAAAAAGCAATTGTAATGAAGATGGAGATGAAATCTAAGAGCAAACAATCAATTGACCCATATGAAATAAAATACAAATGTAAGCTTTCAACACCCACGAAGTTATGTGCAAATGGGAAAAAAAATAAAGGGAGATATTGTTGGGGTTGTACTAAGTTACCAAATAAAGAATATAACATCTTTCAACGGGCTCAGAGGATGATTGCATAAACAGAGGACTGATATAGTAAAGAATAGGAAAATATATCCAAGACTCTTGTTTGTTTCATTTACAAAGAATAGAAAACATATTATCATAGACTTGAGCTTTTTTGTACTTGTTTCAAAACTATAGAATAGGAAAGAAACACAAAAAGTTTGAATGAATATACCTAGTGGTAGAAATACCACCCCAAACACAAATAGTTATAAAACTAGATGTTGAGGTAATCTTACCAATACGAAGTTGAAGCCAACAGGGGAAAAAGGGGCTATTTTTGTGGTTGCAATGGCTAGTAGAGCTGAAAGTCTATATAAACTTTTCAGCAGCATACCCACAAGCCAATTTATTTCTTTTTTTTGTAGGATACTACTCGTTGGAGTAGAAAACAGAGCAAAAAAGCAACTGTAATGAAGATGGAGATGAAATATGAGAGCAAACAATCTAAAATAAAATACAAATGTAAGCTTTTAACACTCACGAAGTTATGTGCAAATGGGCTGAAGCCAACAAGGGGGAAAAAGGGGCTATTTTGTGGTTGCAACAACTAGTAGAGCTGAAAGTCTATATAAATTTTTTTAGCAGCAGACCCACAAGCCAATTTATTTCCTTTTTTTGCAGGATACTACTCGTTGGAGTAGAAAACAGAGAAAAAAGCAATTGTAATGAAGATGGAGATGAAATCTGAGAGCAAACAATCAATTGACCCATATGAAATAAAATGCAAATGTAAGCTTTCAACACCTATGAAGTTATGTGCAAATGGGGAAAAAATAAAGGGAGATATTGTTGGAGTTGTACTAAGTTACCAATTAAAGAATGTAACTTCTTTCAACGGGCTCAGAGGGTGATTGCATAAACAGAGGACTGATATAGTAAAGAATAGGAAATTATATCCAAGACTCTTGTTTGTTTCATTTACAAAGAATAGGAAACATATTATCATAGACTTGAGCTTTTTTGTACTTGTTTCAAAACTATAGAATAGGAAAGAACCACAAAAAGTTTGAATGAATATACCTAGTGATAGAAATACCACCCCAAACACAAATAGTTATAAAATTAGATGTTGAGGTAATCTTACCATTCCAAAACTGAAGCCAACAGGGGAAAAAAGGGGCTATTTTGTGGTTGCAACGGCTAGTAGAGCTGGAAGTCTATATAAATTTTTTTAGCAGCAGACCCACAAGCCAATTTATTTCCTTTTTTACAGGATACTACTCGTTGGAGTAGAAAACAGAGAAAAAAAGCAATTGTAATGAAGATGGAGATGAAATCTAAGAGCAAACAATCAATTGACCCATATGAAATAAAATACAAATGTAAGCTTTCAACACCCACGAAGTTATGTGCAAATGGGAAAAAATAAAGGGAGATATTGTTGGGGTTGTACTAAGTTACCAATTAAAGAATGTAACTTCTTTCAACGGGCTCAGAGGGTGATTGCACAAACAGAGGACTGATATAGTAAAGAATAGGAAAATATATCCAAGACTCTTGTTTGTTTCATTTACAAAGAATAGAAAACATATCATAGACTTGAGCTTTTTTGTACTTGTTTCAAAACTATAGAATAGGAAAGAACCACAAAAAGTTTGAATGAATATACCTAGTGGTAGAAATACCACTCCAAACACAAATAGTTATAAAATTAGATGTTGAGGTAATCTTACCATTACAAAGCTGAAGCCAACAGGGGAAAAAGGGGCTATTTTGTGGTTGCAACGGCTAGTAGAGCTAGAAGTCTATATAATTTTTTTCAGCAGTAGACCCACAAGCCAACTTATTTCCTTCTTTTTGTAGGATACTACTCGTTGGAGTAGAAAACAGAGCAAAAAAGCAATTGTAACGAAGATGGAGATGAAATCTGAGAGCAAACAATCAATTAACCCATATGAAATGAAGCAAATGTAAGCTTTTTCAACACCTCAGAAGTTATGTGCAAATGGGGAAGAAATAAAGGGAGATATTGTTGGGGTTGTACTAAGTTCCCAAATAAAGAATATAACTTCTTTCAACGGGCTTAGATGATTATGATTGCATAAACAGAATTCAAGTATCACAAAGTGAAGACATTCTTGAAGATAAAAAGTCAATGAAAATAAGAAAAGTGAAGAGAGAATTGAAATCAGCAGAAAATCAACTAATCATTTGGAAAATAAGCGCACTGTTTTTAATTTTAATTTGTGTATTTATCTTTGTCTTTAAAAATATACCATATAGTTGCAAAATGTATTGAGACATGAAATAAAATTTTCATGGTTGGTAAATAATAGACTATGAGGCTCAGAAAACACACGGTCTACATGTGCATTTCCAGAATTTATCTTTTATTTTTTACCCTCCTTATGGTGATAAGTGACTAACTTCCTACAACAACGCCTTCTTATTAAACATGCAAAGACAGTAATGATGGCGAAAATAGTAGAATTACTCAACATACAATTTGATGTC